CTGAATAGTTCAATACATCGTGTAACAGTTATCGAATATGCTACTAATTAATCTATATACAAAGTCAGCTCATTATGATTTTTTTCTCTCGTCACCATTATTAAATTGCTGCATCTTCTTGTCTTTCATCTAGTTGCATGATAAATCATATCTGAAACAGGTGGTTTATTGATTAATTTAATTTTTTTTCGAGCTGTTGTTAGTGTAATTAATTTTGAAATTAATTCTTTAAGTGTGGTGTGTCTATTAACCAATTAACATACATTTAGTGCCTGTTTGGCAGGGCTTTTGAAAAGTAAAAAGTTGATTATGAGACTAAGAAGCTATTTTGAACATATTTAAATAATTTCTAGAAAGTATTTTGTCTGTAAGAGCTTTAGAGGAGTTAACCTAAAGTTCGTTTGGTACAATTTTTGAAAAGTCAAGAATTGCTTTTGAATATATTTGGATAATTTTCTTGAAGTGTTTTGTTTGGCTAAATAAGATTTTAAAAGAAATAGAAGCCTTGTCAAACATGTCCTTAATCACTAGTTCGAAATTAAGATGATAAAAAAGGAAGCATTTACGAAGAATACTTGACCCTTTCATAAACCAAAGGGTAACTACCATCGACTTGCAAGGAATTATGCTTCAATTCTTATGTGACACAACTAGGTTTAAGATAGAAAAAATAAAAATTGTAGTAATTAATCTCAATATATATTCGTATATTCTGAGAGTATTTTCAACTTTCCCAAAATTGTAGTAAGATATGGAGTGTCAAGTTTAATTTCTTGATTCGTGTTTGACGTGCATTTCTTTGTATCAACTTGTTACAAATGATTAAGATGGGATTTAATTTATAGTTAAAGATTATCATTTTTATACTTTTGCACCAATATAATGTGATGTATTTTCTATCAAATAGTATATCATTAGTTAATAGAAAACCTTGACGAAAATTCTATTAGTCCATGTCGACTTTCGATATACGTGGGCCGACTGGAGGTTTACGCTCATAGTTTTGAAAGAAGTCACTCAATTTACTTGGCCTATGAAACTATAATCTAATAATTTTTGTTCATTAATATACTTTTTATATGTTTATTTCGAGTATATGAACCTGGTCTTGAATGCAGGTTAAATGACAAAAATAAAGGAAAAAATACCGAAACAAATGAGTATAGCATCTTCTTGCATCTTTTCGCCCACCACTTTTTCAGCTCTTTTTTTGATGGAGAATTCACTCCAAAGTTGTGAATCTATTCATTTATCCTGTAGTTGTGGCTAGGTTCGTGGATTAGTACTTTCATCTTCATGTTTTTTCTCTATAAATAGTGACCAAAACTCGATCCTTGCGACATATTTACTAAGTTCAAGCTATACACACATGCATATTATCATTTGAGATTATAAATTTCAAATTATGAAAGTAATTTATATCTCGACGGTAGAATGCATCAGGTTTCACCTTGAGTTCCCTTCAATCACTTCATTGCATAGTGCTCTTTTCAATCATAACAATTAGTACTGAAGTGTTTGGGGGAACTCGTGATGTTACTTGATATGATATAGTAGTGCAATTTGCTGCCAAATTAGCAAGTGACTATTAATTCAAGGTAATTAATTTTCCCTCTACATACACTGCCAAATTATGGTTTACCCGTCTTGATTTCTTAATATGGTAAACAAGTGAGTGTATGGTGCAAAGTACTAGGCAGAAGTGAAGTAAATAGTAGGTCAGAAATATAGAAACTAAGTTAAAAGTAGAAATTAGATTAAGTAATAAAGAAAGAAACTTCTAAAAATCATCATTAATCATACAAGTTCACAAGGATGAGGATGAGATGAGCACATGTCAATGATGAAGCCAAGTTCACGTGGATGACTCCATTTCAAGAAGATGAGGCTTAGCCGCCTAGCACGAGGATAAGACCATTTCAAGAAAATGAGGCTGAGCTCGAGGACGAGAAGGAAGCCCGAGCCATGATGATGAGGCAACTCGTTGTAGCAAAGGTCGTTCTAAGGCGAACGAATTAATGCTAAGAAAAAATTGAGACACATAGTAGGAATCAACAATTTTGTCAACTGCCAAGTTAACCACTTAATGCTCGACTAGGGGTGCCTAAGCGCGCATTATTAATTTTTTTTCCTTTTTTGAAAGGCCTTTTATTTGACATTAATTTAATTTTTTTCCCTTTCTGAAAAGCCTTTTATCTAACTTAGTTCAAAAAATGACTTTATACGATAAAGAGTTAGATAAAATTTAAGTAACAGTGCTATTTATATTATGTAATTATGATTTTGAGGCTTATCGTTTTGTTGAAAGCTTCGAAAGTATTTTAAGTAACTGTGAAAATAGTCTCGCTTTTGCATTTCGAAAATTGTATAATTAACTAATTGTAGGAATAATTTAGTAAATATAGTATTTTATAATTTTAGATATTTGGTATGCATTATTTTAATAATTGAATAATTTTTAGAATGGTTAAAAATTTAAAATAATATTAAAAATTAGAAAACATTTTTTACGCCTATGCCTCGCTTAACCTCGTAAAACTTGAAGTTTGGTCTCCACGCCTAGCCATGCTTTACGTTTTTTTAGAACATTGGCCGTTCCCTTCATTGCAAGTTTTTCAGGAACCTAAGTGGTTCTTGCCTTTCAAGTTGGTATGTGTAAAAATTTACTCCACACCAATAATGATGTATAATTGAATCCAAGGGTTTACGTCATATAGGATCTTGTGATGATTTTTTTAAAAAAAATTTGAAGCCACATTAGATCATATATATAATAACAATGGGCGACATTTGGTAATGATTTTCTTCCACATGAGGGCATCAGTGCCTTTCTTGGTCCACTAGGATCAAGGTAGCTGTTGATACTGCAAGAGGCCTTTCTTTCTTGCATGATGCTAAAAACAAAGTGATAAATCGAAATTTGAAGTCTTCTAACATTCTTTTGGATGAGGTTTGTTCCTTGGATAACTTTTTTTGTGTTTTTGTCTTGGTTTCACCTAAGGTAGTTGTTTGAATAGAAAATGTAATATCTTGTTACATTATGGGGCAGGATTTTAATGCCAAGTTGTCTGACTTCATTCTCGCTAAAGATGGACCACCTGATGATAAGACTCATGTGTCCACTCAAGTTATAGGTACATATGGCTACGCTGCACCGGCATACATTTCTACAGGTTTGGTACGACAAACTATTAATTCTCTACTCCTTTTGCACTTCAAAATCATATTATCATTAATATAGTTACGTTAAACTCCTTTCTGATGAACAAGCCATCTGACAGAAAAGTGTGAAGTATATAGCTTTGGAGTTGTTTTGTTAGAATTCCTATCTGGCTGTCAGGCTTTTGAAATATCTACCGATGAAGATCATCTCCTAGTGGATTGGGCAAGATCACATTTGTCTAAGAAGAAGAAGAAAAAAGTGTATCGAGTAGTGGACCCCAAATTGGAAGGCCAGTACCCTCTGGAAGGAGCAGTTATTGTTTCAAATCTTGCTTTGCAGGGCGTAAGTGATAATCCCAGAAGCAGGCCGCGTATGGCAGAGGTTTTAGCCGCATTGGAATGACTCTAAGGCTCATATGAAAATCAAAAAATAAAGATTATTCTATATCTGCTTTGTAGTGTCTGAATATGACACCTTTGGAGTGTCTGTAATTATTGCATGAAAGGTGTTTATGGTGTAAGATTAATAAGTTGATTTAGTTTTTGGCAAAATCTTCTCCTTATCATTTCTATCCCTTTATGCTTCAATTTTTTGTTGTTTG